ATAATATATTTAATATATTATAATTATTCGAAAAAATAATTGTTTTTTTAAAGAAAAAAATATTCTTTTTTTTAATATCATGGCTATATTAATAATTTTTACGTTGTACTAAAATTATATACTATATTATATTCAAATTTTTTATTTAAATAATTTAATTATTAAAAAAATAAAATAAAGTATTATTATATAATAATTATATGCTAATAATTACTAATTATTATAATAATTTTTTATTATTCTAATATTTTTTATGTATAAACACAGTTATTAAAAAAACATAAAATTATATTTTTAATATTATTATTATATTAATTATTATATTATTTATTTTTATTATTATTAGTATTATTATTATTATTATATAAATAATCAATAAATAATTATCTTATTTAAATTTCATATAAACTTAATATAGATATTATATAAAAAAATTTTATTTATTTCATTATTTGATTATTTGGTTTTTTTTTATAATTTCTTAAATACAAAATCAGTAAATATTATATATAGTTTTAAATAAATTTATTGATATAATATAAAAAATAATATATGTATAAATGTAATAATAAAAGATATAGAATTAATATTACAAAAATTTGTTTATTATAAGATACATATTTATATAATTTAATCAATCCTTTCAGTTATGTATCCTTTCAGTTATGTATCCTTTCAGTTATGTATATGTTATGTATATTAGAACAAACATTTTTCATTTTTTAATTTTTTCATTTATTAACAAAAAAAAATAAATAATTTTTCATTTATTAACAAAAAATTTTAATGTACAATTTTAGTATAATTTGAACTTAAAAAATCAAATCTTGCATTATTTGATATATTATGTTGGACATGACTTAGATCCTGAAGTTTGAAGTTCCATATTTTCATTAAAAAGATTTTCTTGGACTATTATTCTGCCTGGAATATAATCTGGTCTAGATGGTCCCAAAGATCCACATGGTTCTTCTTCACTCTCATCAATTTTTATATTGCTTATTCCTTGATTATAACTTGTAGATTTTGGATAATTTGCATTTACTGGTGCATAGCCTAAATCTCTGTAAATAATTAGTAATATAAAATTAATAATAATTAAATTACATATTCTTTAATATGCGCAAATGTGTATATAAATACTAATAAAAATATTAACAATTTTAAGTAATTATTTTGTCATTACTCTTTCTTACTTGTAAGTAATAAGACTTTCTGACATTTGATTAGAAGTTTCTTCTTGTGTTATACTTTCACGTTCAATTGCTTCAAGTTCTGCTAATTTAGCCTCTTCTTGTTCATCATAGGAACCAATAACAACAGTTTTTGGAGGTGCTAATTTTAATTCTACAACAGGTTTGTTAACTGTTACTAATTTTTCTTCTGCAATATCAAGAATTTGATTTTCATTTTTTACATCAGTTGGTAGTGTTCTATGACCAAAAGATAATTTATCTTCTGGAACAAATTGTTTTCCTTGTCTATAAATTACATTTGGCGCACGAAGATTTTTGTATGCAAGAGTAAGAGAAACTGCATCTGCTGGCATTGCTGCTGGATATGAATTATGATCTTGAATTTCATCTGAAAAATATATAATAATTTTTTTTGAATTTTTATATTTTATTAAAAATTACAATAATATATTTAATAATTATTAAACCTGTAATATAATCAAAACAATCTGAAGAAGTGCTGCTCATTTTTGAATATTGTTTTTGTCCATTTCCATTATTTAAATTAAAAATAGGTAAATTATTATACATTGCAGAATTTGTTTCAAAGTTCATATTTCCATATGAATTAGATGTACTAAATAATTTGGGATCACTAGATATAATTTCAGTTTTTCCAATAGCTGTGTTTATACATGTTTCATAAGGAATTGAAGGAGGACAACATACAAGTTTGCCAGGATAAGCTGGTGTAACCTTAGTTTTTTCTATTAATTTTCCACTATTAGGTTCTATTGGAAGAGGATAACATAAATCTCCAATTGGTGAAAATCTAAAGATAAAAATTTAATATAAGTTTAATATATTTAATAAGTTTAATATAAGTTTTTATATGATTCTTGATTTTAAATATAGTTTAAATTTTATCAGTTTTATAAATATTTATAACTTTATAAATTTATTAATAAAAAAAAACATATACCTAGGTGCAACATTGCCATTGAAATTATTAGAATCTTCCAATGTTTCTAAATTTTGTTTAGATTCATTAGAATTGTCAGAATTAGTTGAACCAGAACAACTATATGCAGTTGCACTACTTTCACTTTGTGTTTTTAAATTATTGTTATTGTATGTATTTTCATTACATCCACAAGTATTGCTCTTTGAATCACTGCTACTTTGAGGAATAGAGTTGCTATTACTTTGTGAATTAGAGCAATCAGTTTGACTAATTTTTGCATTTGCAGCATTCTTGATTTCTTGTGGTGATACATAATGTGTAGGTTTTGGTAATTTTGTAGCTTTCACGACAACCTCGTTAGAAGTGCAAGGATTTGAACCTATAAGCAATATAATTGAGTTATTAATCTTTAAAAATTGTTCTATTACAATTAAATTTTAATTATATTATATACCTTGTCCCAAACTACCGCACGTACATTCCTTATTTTGTACTTGAACTATTAAATATGCTATTGTTAAGATAAAAAGTGTATTCAATATTGAAGACTTCATATTGATGAGTATCTTCTGAACATTCTGACTCATTCTTTTTTTTTAAACCCTTTATATATACAAAAAAATCTGAATTCAAAGATAAATTATGCAATTTAATAGCATACTGCGTTTCCTGTTATTTTTTAAAATACTATAAAAACTTCCCGTATTTTTAAAAAATGGACATTTAAATAACTTTTGAATAGTAAATATATTTGATTAAATTTTGATGGTAATGTAAACGAATATATATATGTATTGGATATAATTTAAATTACGATACAATATGTTTAATGAATTGAACGTTGTACGTGATAATTTGATGAATCGGTATTTCCGTGTAACTTCCATGTTATTGTTTATATATATGTCGCGGGACAAAATATTTTAATTTTCGGTTTGGTATCAATGAAGACATTATTTTTTAATATGCATTTTATTATAAAATATGAATTTAATGAAGATGTATTTATTTACATTTGTTATTCTATTATATAATAATATATTTACAGTTATATACAATACATTATATGTTTTTACATCTTACTTATTAAAAAAGTCTGCTGCTCTTTGCCTTTGAAGAGGCAAATTAAGCAAATTATCAGTAAGAACAGAATCTTGACACCGTGTATTGCTGTTTTCAAGATGATTTTCAGATTTTAAAACTGTATTTATTCGTGGAGTGCTGGGTGTTCTAATACCTATTGATGGTGTCTTTAAAGATGATATTCTTCGTGGAGTTGGTGTACTTGCTATACGAAGTTTTTGAGTAGCTAATCTTCTAGCAGCTGGAGACATAGTACTCAAACGATCCATGGTTGATCTAGGTGATGGACTAGATAAAAGAAGATAAAAATCAGTATAAATTTTTTAAACAATTAAATAACACAAATAATAAGGATATTTACGTTGCTAATGATTTTCTTGCTGCTTCTAAAGCTTTATTTTTTCTATCTCTATGTCTTTCACCAGCTTTTTCTGCTAGTTGTAATGCAAGTTGCTCTCTTTTTGGAGGTTCTGCCATTCTAAATGATGGTCCTTGACTTGTTCTCAATAATGGTGTATCCCCTCCATCTAATCTAAATGGTGTACCTTCTATTTGACCCCATGTCATTAAAGGACTCTCACATTCTCCAGGTCTTGGACTTGGAGTTGCTACAAAGCTAAATCCGTTTATTCTAGGTGTTGGATTTCTTACAATTTCTTTGCCATCAACTCCTATCTTCCCATCATTAGCTTTTGATTGATTTTTTGCTAATTCATTAATAGTTTCTTTATTTTGCTGTTCATTAAAAGGATTAATTCGAAGTCTCGTATTTTCATGTACTACTATTTGTTTTTTTTTAGCTAAATCTATTCTTTCATCAGGAGTTAATTCTACTCCATCAGGAACATACATAATATAATTTTTATTTTTATAATTCCAACTATCTAATTGATTCTTGTTATCATTTTCAAGAGCTAAAGTATTTGAATTTTTATCATTTTTCGATACTTTAGAATTCTCTTCAGCTTTATAAAGCCAAGCAAATTTAAGCTTTAGTCTTTTTTCTGCTTCGATCATCATCTCCTCAAAACTTGCATTATCTTCACTTGTATGAGTACTCAAATATGCATCCAATCCAGATGTAAGCTCTGTTTTGTCTTTATCTTTTATAATTTTATCAACAGGTGTATCTTTTGATTCTTTTGAAGACTTAAATTGTTCATCTTCAGATTCAATTTTATTCATAGGTGTTTCAAATGTAGCTGGACTAGCAGGTCTTTCAGTTGTTGGACGTCCTGAACTATATTTTTCATAAAGTTCTCTCATTCTTTTCACATCATTTTGTTCTAATGCATCTAAATATTGATTTTGTGCTTGAAGTTTATCTAAATGTGGAAAAAAATCTCTTTGAATAATTTCTCCCATCCTTTTTATATATGTATCTTCATCTAGGATTTTTGGTTGTACTTTTTTATGTTTTTTTGCAACACCTAATGGTTTTTTAAATACAGCTAAGTCTTTCATATTTTTAGCTACTTCCAAAGCTTGAGATCCTGGAGTATCCATTCTTAAACTTAAAATAGTAATATATGCTTAAAAAAAAAAATAAAAAATATTAGTAATTAGAAGTAGTTAAAATATAATAAAAATAATTTATTATATAGATTAAACAATTGACACATACATTTGTAAAAAAAATTAAGGTTATGTATTGAAACGTCTCTTAAACGTTTTTACTTTTAGATTTGAATTTAATTATATTCATAGTTTATATTCATTTTTAGACTTAAATAAATTATTGCTAATAGTTTCAATCTTTTTACAATTGTTCATACACTTACAAATGAACATGTAACACATATATATAGAACTTCAAACAAAAACACTACTTGCAAAACAATTAGCACAGATGAAGTATAGAAAAATACCTAACATTTAAAGCATTTTGTATCATGCGTTAAGATATTTTGTCATTTTTAAAATTACGATTCGATTCGGATTTAAATCATAATTAGTAACGATTAAAATTGAAATTAAATTGCAATTTAAAATTATGAATAAAAAATAGCGAAAATATTACAAAACTATTATAGAATTTAAATGCCATCACTGTTGCCAAGCGATGGTTGCTTCAAAACACTCATATCATATATCAGAGTATATGTTTTTTATAAAGTTATTATTCTAAAAATATATTGTAAAGCCAAAAATGTAATATTTATATTCTTTATATTAAAATTTAAGACACGTAATGAGTTTTGAAAACGATGAAAATGTATTCAATTGATATACCATATTTTCTTTGAAGTCACGTGTAAAGTATAGACAAAGAGGTAAATTCATATATAAAAAGGATAGAAATTAGGATAGGATTAGCGCCATCTCCAGAGTTTCGAATGAAATATACAAATACAAGGAAAAGAGATACATAGAAAATAGTGAGAAGAAGATAAAGATATAGTAAGAATTGATTTAGTGCTATCTTTTGAATTCCAAAAATTTTTTTCAAAAATATTGAATGCCTTAATTTTTGCTCTATTTATCTTATCTTTGAAAAAATATTTTTTCAGTATTCAAAAGATGATGCTAAAGGCTAATACTTATTATATCTTTATTCTTTTTTCACTATTTTCTATCTTTTTTTTGTATTTTATTTGTGGTACTTTAAAGATAATGCTAATTTTTATTACATCTCTATCTTTCTCACATATTTTGCTTTCTTTATTTATACTTACCAAAGATATTTCTTCAAAAATATTTAATATTATCCTTCAATTTTTACTCTACTTTATTCTTTGAAAAAATATCTTTAATACTCAAAAGATGGCAATAAAGATCAATTCTTATTATATCTCTATCTTTTTTTTACTATTTTCTATTTTTTCTTTGTGTGTTTCATTTGCAGCATTCTAGAGATGGCGTTAATTTCACAATTTTTACTTTATTTCTATCCTTCTTACACAATTTGTTCTCCTTGTTTCTATTTATTTTACAAAATTTATGGAAATATTTACGAAAAGATATCAAAAAAATTATTTATTTATTATTATTTATATAATATATTATTATTTTTTATGAATTGAATATAATTCTTGCATTCGTTATTATAAGTCGTAAAGGATGTATTTAAACATTAATTTTTGTATAATTAGTATTTTATAACATAAAACATAAAATTAAATATTACGTTCATTTTATATCTTATCTTTGTAATTGTATCTAACCAACGAATGGTAATACATGCTACATTTATTATCTGTGTCATGTGGCGCCATTACATATCTGTTTATAGTTAGTATTTAATAAACTAATTGATTTACTTATTATCGTCTTATTATATTGTTATATTATCGTTATTATATTGTTATATTATTTTATAATATTAGTGAATAATTTTTAATATATTTTAAATGCAACAATTAATATTAAGAAAAATTATTTGTGATATTTTTTTATTTGAATTAAAAATTATAGAAACGCACTTACAAAAAAAGAAATATGAACAGAAACAATAAATTATTAAAAAATAATTTTTCATTATTCTATTAATAAAATAAGATGTATTAAACGCATATATATACATTTTTTATAATATATCTCATAAATTATTTATGATTTTTTTTAAAAAATATAATTTTAGATTTCAAATTTAACAATAATTTTTACAAATGTTACAAAAATTACATAGCATAATGTTTAAAACATTAAATAGTAATAAGGTTTTCTTTGCACAGTTATCAATAAAAAATCAAAGAAAATATCAAGGCCGTTCGATGTGATCACATTACGCTACACAATAGAAATTAAGAAAAATAAAAATTCGATGGGGTGATTGACATACCGTGCAAGCACGGCCCTGGTTTTGGCCACTCAGTAAGTAGTTGAAGTGATATTTTGGTCGAGCTGGGACAGTGGGATGGGATATGATTGCCTTCTCGTATTGCCGTGGCTTGAGACATGGACTCTCGGAAGAAAAGAGGAAGAGAGACCGAGCAAAATGATCCGAGAGGCTCCGAGGTGTTGGAAAGGCACGATGAAAGACATATGAGGATTCCAGCGGCGAGATAGGATATGCCTGCCGACTCTCTCTCTATGTTACAGCGAAAATCTTTTGAGATTCACTTTATACGTATTACTTTTCTTTTGTCTGCTTTTTTTCGTAAAATTGGCAAGTATTGGACTGTGGCGAAAGAATTCTGTAAAAACATTGATTCATTCACTCGTTTGATTGTGATTTTATGTCAATTTTTTTTTTTTTTTTATAAAAAATGCTACAACTAAAAATATATCAATAGTGAATAAAATAAATTAATGTCAACAAAATTTAACATAAAGTTCAAGTGAAGGATTGAAATTCTTGAAACTTTATAGAGCACGTGGTTCTTCGTGTCAACTTCGGGTGTAAGAAAGACGTCCTTCTATTTACGACATAAGGTAAACTTCTTTTAAGTCTTATGGTTCACGGTCAGTGTCTGTCTTCGGATACTTCGCTTGCTTGGACAGTTTTCATGGCGCTAACAGACATGTCCGTCTTTCTTCCTGTTTTCTTCCTACCATATATATTTCAATAAAATTAATTCTCATTATGCATTCCAGGAAATAATATATATGCGAGGAAAATAGAAAAAATAGGAACGTTTGCCATTTTGGCTCAAACATAAATTTATGATCAAACCCAATTTTAAATCATATTTGTTCCAAGTTACTTGTCGTCGTGCAATTAAGGAGGATGAGTCGACAACCGGTAATCTATAGTGATTTTATTATTGCTAATAAGTCTGTAGCATAATTATGCTCGTTACTTTTCAACATAATATATTATATCCAATGTTTAATTTCTGTTTAATAATAAATCAGTATAATAATAAATTCCATTTTTTTTTTTTTAAATTTAACGAAATTTATTTTCTCTAAAATAAGATATTTAATTTGGATTAAACAATAGCCATTATTTTAATGTAATTATTATTATACAATGTAAATATTAATTATTTACATTATTTACATATATTATTGATTAAAATAAGAAAATATAAACTATTAATCTATGTTTCCCAGATTTAAATTCAATACTTAAATAAAAGTCGAGTTACTTATGGCGCAAAAGAAGAGTGGTGATGACGAAGAAATTTAAGAAGTAGACAGAGACGAAGGTTGCAGACGTAAAGCATAAACAGTCGAGGTGCGATTTGACGCACGCTCGGGCCATCCAAGGCACATCTCGCTCGCTGAACGTACGCTTTAAGAATCCCGAAGAAGCGACCAGCCCGATGGCTGGAATCTGTAAATCTGTCATTGCAGCCATATTCGTGTGGCTGGTACCGCAGGATATGAACTTCTGC